ATCATGAACGCGCCGGGAATGAGAAGAAGAAGAAGAGAAATAGAAAGCTTATAAAAAGAGAGAATCCCTGCTCTAATCATTTTTCCATATTTTCCTCCAAACTTCAAACAAGGCCGTAATAAGACAAAATTAGTCCTTTCTACGATAGCAAAAAAGCCGTCCTGGTCTATTCTAAGTAGTCCAATTAATAAGTGTCATCTCATAAAACATGTTGAACCTGTTAGCATATACAAATAAGTAACTCGACGACTAGAAAAAGAATAAGATTAGGTTAATTTGGTGAGTTTTGGTCGATAGAGTCTTATTCAATGTGGCCCTCTAATTTCGCTAAAAACGCCTCGTATTCATTCGGTAAAAGTTGGTACGAAAACCAGTCAATATAGAAAGGTCAGTAAGATTTAAAAAAAATAATTATTGGTATTTTTTGGAAATGCAAGGGTATGATAGCAGATTAATTATATAAGTACTTGAATTTATTGTAATGTACCGACGGGGATTAAACGCCTGTTCGCATGTGCCAATTGAAAACATAATGGCAGTATGTGATTGACTCTCAAAGCCCTGTTATCCTTACACTCATCTCATGCTTAAAAAAAGTAGAAGAGAATTTATGAAGCCTTGTTATTTGGTAGAACTTTACGAGTGATGATCATGATTTATCGAACCAAACTTCGCAATACYACGTCATCATAATATTCTATTGTTACTCGGACGGGGAAATAAAGCCATAATAGCTTTATAGTCTGTTAGCAAATACATGAGATAAATATATCACAACCAAAAAGCCAGCAAATTAATCTATTGATTGAACTGGAGCAGCTCAATACACAGAAAGATAAGGCGGCCGATAGAGATCCTATTAGTCGCTATAGAAACACAGCTAATGTAAATTATCAACTTATCGAATTTCTGGTCAATGTTGCTTGACTCAAAATCTAACGAGATTGTCTTCTTTATAACACTTTATCTTAAGGCTTAATACTTAATACGTTATTGTTCTCTTATTTTTTATTATATATTATTCCATCTGGAAGACTTATATCAATAGCAAAGGGAACTTCCCGTATATTCAAACAATCAGATAACAAACAATATGGTATAGAATACTCGAAACTAGAATAATATTTATGCC